ATCCACAACCTGCGCCATATTTTTAGCCTTACTTAAATATTTATCATTATTTTTTGTTTAGATTATTGAATCAATGAGAGTTCCTCGAATAGGCTGAGCTGGTTATTTTACCAAGCGTATTAATTCGAACGAAGGCTGATTGTGACGCGGAATGAGTATATTATACCACTGCGAGCTCAGCGTTTCCCTAAGCTCAGCCTAATCTTTTAATAGGCCAATCTACGGCAAACAATTAGATCATTGTAATTATCAGCTATTACGACAATGGCCGCAAATGTGCACAGCGAAAAAAAAAAGGGTAGCTACAGCTTTCCGCTAGTGCGTCTAATCAGTTCAACAAAGCTCTGCGGTTTTAAGATGCCGGTGGTCACGGCATGTCAATGCAGTGATCGACCGCAATGGTTTTGTAAATGCCTTACTTATCGGCCACACTCAATGCTAAGTCTGCAGGTGTGAACCAATCCAGTCGTGCCGATACCGTACTAATGACAATCTGCTTAACGCAGTAGTAAATCGTTGAGGATTTATAATGAAACGTAAGTAAGTCTGTCCTTGGAAGACGAGTTTTATGTGTTTCAATTTTCAATGTCATTTTGCTCAACGATATCATCTAGAGGAAACGTTTAAAGATGAACTACCGCGCCAGTTAGAGCAAAGCAAGCCGACGTTTGTCCCTACCGCGCTCAGATTAGCACAATGGCTGACATAACGATGACGCCGGCGAAGACTTAGTCAAAAGGACGCTTACGCACCAAAGAAACGTTCGCAAGCACCTACAAGGAATGGTACATTTGCCCACGGTGTTTATGAACTAGATCTAGGATTATTGCAACAGAATGTTCAAACTAACGACGTACTTATCTTGTAGCACCTCTACCAGCCCGGCGTCGAGTTGGCAACGCCAATCGAGCTTGCTGGCTAGTACTCATAAAGATAGGATTATGCCGTTTGTCGGCAAAAGTTTCGTAGTAGTAGTACAGTAGCACTCACAGTATCAATAGTAACATTAACTTGAAAACAGCGGACTTGAATGTACGATTCTGTCAACGTTGAACAACGCACTACGTCTAGTGCGATAGATCCGGCTTAAGGCTTTTACGTACGGTAGTTAAGCCGTTAAGCATTATTTCACACAACTGGTTCCTAGCGCACAGCGCGGTGTATCTACACCTGCCTCGTAAGGCAGGTGTAGATAAGATAGGATAAAGGCAGCCAAATATCCCTGAACGAAGTAAACACCAAGCTATTGCATTACCACAGAGACGGCATCTTGGGGTGATAGATCGGGGCGGCTGCTTCTTCTATAATAGGACCAAATGGATCAGTATATATATATATATATATATATATATTAATAATGTAAGAGTTCGATTATATGAAAACTGCATGTGATTCAATCATGTCAATCAATAATGGCTATCGCGTTCAGTGTAATTAGCGTTGAACTGGATATTCATTGTCCGGAGCAGTGTCAAAACAATTATTCGAGCGCTTCCTGCTTCCAGGTTTCTTAAGTTCTTGCCGTGCTCTCAGACCTTTCTTCGTTCAGGTCTTTATGAACCCCTTTGGAAAATAAGTATCACGTAAGGCTCGTTTTTCGGTGCAGTGATATTCATCTAGTGTAGATATTGATGGGTTTACGTCCGCTTGAGCATCAAGTCTTTTGGCACATTCGTTCTGATTCGGCTATTACACAGAATGAGTTATTCTGCTCCTCGTTTCGGTCCGTACTCATACACAGGCTGTACTGAATTAGACCTGGCTTCAAGGCTTTCGTGTTGCTAATTTTTTGCCACTTTCTGTCTGTAATAACAGCACAGAGTCAGTTTTCCGATAGGTCCTAGTGTAAACTATTGTTTCAAAAAACACAATTCAGAAGGGGGCTTTTTTAGCTCATCATCCTACCCGTGTCGGGCAATGAACTTTATTGCCCAAAACAAAGCGCGCTATCTACGATACTTGCCGTTGCGCCATGGCTTTACACGATACGATTGTACGATAAAGCAAATGGAACACTTGTTTCTCATGCAAATTGCTTAAGTCTTCAGCTTTTAACCAGTTACGATTTATTTATCCACAATGACGGTGTCGTACCGTAACTGGCGTAGCGATGAGTTGCAAAAGACACACAGTGGTCGTTTTTTTTTTTATTCGTTCTAGAACATGGATCGTCAACTCGGCATTATTATCATTAATGTAGCTCTATTACGTAGCCATATGGGGAAGCAATTGCCTCCTCACATCTCCATTAGGCCCTTTATGGCGAACGATAGGCTAGACTTCGAATGGAAGTACGAAACAGCTAGGCTGTGCTCAAAAGTCTGCATTCAAAAGATCTGTACGTGCGAAGAAACTAACAGGAAACAAAAGAGAAATTGATAAGCGGTCAGAATGTTTGCTTTAAAGTCAAACGCTTATATGACAAGCATCTCGGTGCGACTTGCCACTGCGCTCTGTAATAGTAGTAAGCCTGATGCAATGTGATTGCATACCAGGTTATCAGTAGCATAATTATGGCCGGTAACGCTACTAGAAACAATCCATAGATTATCATACGCGAGGAACAGCGCAAAAGATTGATGCAGTACTTTAGACCACGTTTCTCCTGAAATCCATACGCTGATACTAAAACAGGCAAGCCTGTTATTGGGTATTATTGCGGTGGAGGACCTACGGTTACTGTTGGCCGTCTCATACGGCCATCTACTCGTGGCCCGAGTCACGAATAAGGATGATGATGATGGTGACAACCATGCTTGGCTTTTTAGTCATATATCACAGTAATAATTAATGATTCTTGTATTATGAACGCCAGTGCTGCAGGTAAATAGATCATTAGCTCTCTTAAAGCTCCTTCGGTACGACCTCTTTCGAGGCATATATAAGTCGAAACTAAGTATTTCGTTGTCCAAAACACTGCTGACCTAAAACGGGAGAAATCATTCTAACAGAAGGTCTAGCTAGCTGCACAGTAATCATAACTCTTAAGTGACGCATCTATTTAACCTGAAAAGGGTCTATTTTATAGCACGGTCATAGTCCGTGGGTTCGATTATCTGTCCGAAATATATCATTTTTGACTAAACTCAAACATCTCACTATATTATATAGTGCCTGTAGAGAAACCATTGGCTCCTGGATTAGCTACTGCAGCATCCAGCTAGCAATATCACAGACGTTCTGCTTGGATTACGTTGTTAGGCCCACGTTCAAAATAAACATTTTTCACCTATTTTAGAACAGTCTTCCCTCTGGTTGACATTTGCTTGTCTATTTAGAAGAGCTGTGTAACCGGTTTTTATATGTATCCATATCGCCTTGCAGAGAGGTTTTCGCATTTAGGAACTGATAACAGAATGCCTTGTATATTTGTCGAATATGTCGTCTACTAATACTACATTAACAAATCACGTAACAAATATATGGTTTGCACGCAGTATCATGCAACAATATAGCTATGCCTGCACGAAGCATTCTACAGAACGCTTTCTGAGTCATTCACTATAAATCGTATTGGTTCGCGTATGTATTACTACGCGAACCAATACAATTTATAATAAGATAAGCTTGGATGAATCTATTGACGCACATACAACATTATACTCAAATATGAACTCCGACATTTTCCACAATTCGCCATCACTAACGCTAGGTAAGCTACATATAACATGTATATAATACATTTTAATGTGCTTCAAGCGAATGTTTGTTTTGCAGCGAACGATACATTCGAAGTTGTCCGAAGACATACAGTCGAAATTAGATACGTCATTAGTACATTTACTCGTTTATAGCTGATTCGGACAATATATCCAGGTGGCACTAGCAGTTTGTGTCCATACAACAAAACACGCCTACAGCACCTAATCTGTATAAGTCGCATCTATTTCTCGTACATGAACCTTGTCAAACGAATTAAATCAAACTATAACCAAATCAATTAAAGCGCAAAAAGATAGCGGAATAATTAGAAAAACGCTACTAGCTCAGTTTCGTTGCACGTCTATCCCCCAGTTACTGTATTGTGTTATTATTGTTTAATGGAAGTACCAGAGATGAACGTGGCGACACGCAACGAGTAGTTTTTATACACATACGTGCTAAAACATCTGTCGAAAGGATAATTTAACAGCAAAACATAAGTACTTAGCTTGCGTGAAAAGGACTGGAGTAACCATTTTGTATATATTGTGGTACTGCGATCACGGTTCAAGGTCTGTTTCCCTGTCAATGCCACATCCTCTCTCTTATGCTCGTTATTTGGTACGTTCGTTTCGATATGTTCATTTCGTTCCAGGTTCAGCAGAGAGGTCAGCAAAGCATGCTCTGCTTCATCGCTAACTGTGTATGTGTGTTAGCGTTCGTGGAGAATGGATGAAAAGTAGAAGCATGGGGACAGTGTTCTAGGCTAGCCTAACGGTATTCTTCTATCGAAATGCACATACGTCCATTTCTTCCGGTTCAACAACATACAATTACATAGACTAACATGCTATTGGATAGCCGCTGTAGGAGTAAAGGCTGCAACCACACACGCGCAGCGATACAGGGCCGCTCAGAGGCGAGCTTTCATCGACCTTTTAACTGCCCTAGCGACTTCGAGGCAAGCCCGAGGCGATAGTCGGTGCAGGGTGTGAAGCACTTTAGAAACACGAAGGCCGATAGCTAATGTTGTATATAAATGCGTTTAAGCGCTCTCAAATGCGAACACCAAAACTTTGTTATGAAAAGGACACGCTTGCCACTTATTAGTAGAATCGTATTTTAGACAGATGACGATTATTTACAGTGTGAAAGGTGTAAAAAACGCATCGTTGCGAGAAACTGCAGGAAAGCGCGTAAACCGCGTTTTCTGTGGAGGCGTCGGAGATTCTGTGTTTATTATTATATGTGGATTCCAGATATCCTCTCCTTGTTTGTATTCAGTGAACGAGTATGTTATATTAATAGTTATAATAGGATAGAGTAACATTGTATTGGTATACTTTCGTTTGTTTTAGCCGACATCGAACACGATGGAGCCTACCGCGCCAGCTCTGCCGTTCACAAAGAAAACCCCATTCACCGACGAATACCGAATCGGTGACCGATCACTTGGCTTCGGTATCAACGGCAAAGTTATGGAGTGCACGCACAAACAAACGGGAAAGGTGTACGCCCTGAAGGTACCTGCCGAGGAGGTTTTTGACGCAGGAGCATCTTTGAGAGATCATATGTAACAAAAACCGCGTCACGAATAGCCGTTTCGAGTCTGATCACCACTTCTTCTTGTTACACTAGCAAAAACTTAGTTTTGTCGGTACTTAGAAACCTATCAATTGGAGTATGGGTGTTTTTTTTGTGGACTATTTTGCAATTTTTACTATTTTTATATAAGCAAGGCGCTGACATTTGATACCGTTATTCAGTAGCATTAGTTGATTTCTGCTATTCATACAAAACATTTTCTGGGCTGGTTCTCGAAGGCCGAAAGTCCCTTAAAGCTTTCGGTTCTAAAGATATTTTGGAGTCTGTAATTACGGATTCCGTGAAGCGGGCTCGCTTAGTCTCGTGGCCATAAAACCTAGTACGAATGTATATCCTTGCATTGGCATTCCTTGTTAGTACTCAAGAAAAATATGCTATTCTCATTCTTAAGAGGAATTATTATTAGTTGTTCACTTAAATCTATGATTATTTTATATTGAGAAAGGAAGACTTATGCATGCAGCATCATTCAGGCTTTTCTCGCTCGCGAATGGATCGATCGCTTAGACTATATGGCCTGTTTACGACTTCTTCATTACTATCACTGCGCCACTTTGATTAACAACTCAATACACTTTTAGGCATCATATTGAAAGGGCAGCACGCACATCCGAGCTGGGTCTCTTATTCTACTAACGGCTTGTAAAATTTACTAGGTTTCCTGAAGTGTTTTGAATGTTTCATTCCATTGTGCTCTGGTATTTACAGGTTTTAAAAGATTGCGCAAAAGCGCGCCGTGAGGTCGGACTACATCAGAGAGCATCCGCGTGTCCCTACATCGTTCGGACTCACGAAGTTTTTGAAAACGTCTATGCGGGACATAGCTGTCTTCTTGTAGTAATGGAGTGCATGCGCGGTGGAGAGCTATTTATGGTTGGTTGTATTGTTTACTAGTAGATCATGAACCCTTTTCCTCACTGGCCTTGTTTCACAAAAAGTATTTCACAATCGTGCACTCTTTCTACTGAAAATTGCAACAAATTTTCTTCCATCTCGTTTTCTTCTGTTTTAATTTCTATGATTTTACTAGAATATTTAAAGAAGCTCTTTGTCTGAACGAAGCTCCTTAGTAGACAGACTTTAATCTAGTTAATCAACATTCTCTTCCATACAACAGCACATTCAAAAACGCGGGGAGCAGGCATTTACAGAACGTGAAGCGGCTGAAATAATGCACCAGATCTGCCAGGCGTTAGCATTCTTACATCGAATGAACATTGCTCACAGAGACCTGAAACCCGAAAATCTTCTGTATGCGGACGAGACGGGGGGACGGTTAAAACTCACCGATTTCGGCTTCGCTAAAGAAGTTGAACCTGCAAAAAAGGTTGCTAGTCGGTAGAAATGCTCTTAAAATTAATACTTTAACTAGGTGTCCTTGTGGCTAACATTTGAATAGAAAATCAAATTTCACCTTTTCCCCAACTTGACGTTCAATGATTCGATTGACATTCCACCTGTCCACGAGTGAAACACGTAAAGCGACCTAAAATATCTCAAAAAAAAAAAACTAAAACCCATATGTAATCGGTAGAATATTGACAAAGGGTATTGTTCTCCTCGATCATCTTATCCTTCACGCATGTAAATATGTACACTTCGTTCTCTATTCAGGACCTACAAACGCCGTGCTATACCCCGTACTACGTCGCCCCAGAAGTGCTCGGCCCTGAGAAGTATGACATGTCCTGCGATATGTGGTCGCTTGGTGTTATAATGTATATTTTACTTTGTGGATTTCCGCCATTCTACTCGAACCATGGGCTTGCGATCAGTCCAGGTAGGTTTCAATATTATATATTATAGATTAAGTCAAATGCATAGTACGAACGGATGTTTATTTATGTGTGCACGAAAATACAAAACGTTAAAATTTCCTGTACGGAAGGCAACATTGTCGTTCTGCGTGCCATGTTCATGCTGACCAAACGTGTATATATGTCAAGCAATTGTGCAACAAACCGCCGGATACGAACCATTTCTTTTTCTCCCTGAATTTAACGTTTTTACAAATGCAACAGAAATTATTACTTCCCATACCACAAAACATTAAAAATTCACCAAGCGTTCAAAGGATATAAAACTGTAGGCATAATCCAGTGCCCGAAGAGTGACGATGACCCAACAGTAACATCGTTTGGTGTGATCGGTTAGCATACCATCAAATCCTTATTACCGAAATGTCAGCGGTACAATGAGTTACTCTTATATAAGCAGTGATAGGGCTCGAATGACTGAAGGTGGCAATCAATTTTTTTGACGTACGAGTCCACTCTGGAAAAATACACTAGGGCAATACTTGTCTTTACTTGCCTTTGTTTGCCCAAACGTCTTCTGCACCAACTCTTAGGAAACCGGCACTGTCTTTTCTTAATAGAACGCTGATAGAGCACGAGTCATCTACCGGTTAAATAATTGCCGATAGACATTTGGTAGGTAGATGCAGAGTATCCCGCCCTTCAAACGATTTGCTCTACAGGGCACTGCCAGTGTGAAGCAAACAAATTTTACAGTGCTACCATTCCATTGAGCAGGAAAAATTCTAACGACAAGATTGCAGCTGACCCTTCTGCTAGATAGCGTAGTCATGTGCTCTCGCGTTTCTGTTCTGTCCAGACATATCTAGGTTAACTTCTGTGACAGTTTTTCTGACCAAAGATATCACCGTCATCATTATGGTTATTACCTCTTCCCTGTCTTCGTTACTGTTAAGATGCAGAATCTACAAGCTATAAGATTTTAAAGTATGTTTCAATCCTAAGCTGTAGATTTATGTGCCACAACTGTGCTAGGTTATGTTCATAGTATCACAGTTGAATAACGTTTATCGTATCAGTTTAAAATAATAATAAATGGATACGGAGTATTAAAAGGTAGAAATGCTCAATTTTTTTCTCACATCAATGCCGCTATCTTTGCGCTACTGATTATCCGTCCGGGTATCTATCTAGGTAAATACTTCCGTTCAATCACACCTGTCGTGTGGAATATGTTATGAACAAAACTTGAACCCGCGACCCCGCAGTGCGATAAACGGTTAGAAAACAGACATTATACAATTCGCTGCACTTATTGTTTAAGTATTGCTCATCCAAATCAACTGAGAATTTCTGGAATATAATTTGTTTCCATAGTACGAGATCACGTATTCGATTGGCTAACTTATAACACCGTCCTTTCTGATGATAAGGTTTCAACAAACAGAAACTTGGTGTCGATGACACCCAGTCTTGTTTCGTAATCAATGGATGGATGCAATCTAAACCAATCAATGCGTACATATCAATATGTAGATAAACTTCAAGCCTATCAGTAGCTGCACCGTAGTTGTATTATTATTAACAGGCAGTTCGCCAAATAATTATATATTATATTAGCTATTATAGCCTCACCTGTTCCACGCATAGCCTACGTAAGCCTACAGATGCCACGGATATTGTTTGTCTATGTACCGAGACGCGTGCGTGTGTCTATATCTGATTCCTCCATTTAGACTTAAACGTATACAGGCACGTAGATGATGCTGAAAACGACCGTATGGTATTGTTTCTGGTAAAGATAGATACTGGTAGTCCAAATATGGAGGCCGCGATCATAGACCAGACGTAGCGTACTAGTGTTGGTTGAGATGGCATCAGCTAAGGGTGCTATGATCACAGTTCTCAGTGACTAGTATTCTTGTACGATGAGATATCTACACGCAACATGTCTTATATTACGCCCATGATGTTGTCAATATTGCAATGGGTGACTCCGGTGGACATCAAGGCACGACAAGGCGGCCACTTGTAAACAGACATCCAGCGCTAATTATTATGAGCTAGCAGCTACTCGTGATTATGATGCTTACTTTCGATGAATGGACGCCTATCAATGCAACCAAAGGCAGCCATAACAGTAATCGTAGCGGTAGCGGTGCTCTCCTCTCTGGGTGTCCTAGTTGGCAGTGATAGCAACCGGCAGCCTTTTTGAACTGTGTGCGTACGCATCTATACGAAGCAAGCTAGATACACAAACACTACTGGCCATGCACATATTTGTTACACATGTATTATTTTGTGTAGTAGCTAGTTAAGGTTAGGCGCCAGGTGGCGCTTGTTCGATTACCGTCTAGAATATCAGTCTACACTGCTAGGAATGAACACTGGGAAAATGACGCAGCTTTAGATTCTCATGTCGTACAATATACAACGCATTCTAACTAAGCTAACTCTTAACACCTTTTTCGGGTTTGTTAGATTCGCGCCAGATGGATTCGAAACAATGTCCAAATAAGCGGAATTGGAGATTTCAGTTCTGCAGTCGACAGTTGGCGTATAATAGCTTTTCTAGCAAAAAAGCGAAAGAATTTTAGCTCTTAACATCATCACGACGCAGTCTGTTTTATTGGTCGGACACTTCGTTCATCAAAAGAGGCAAACGATTATATGCGATATAATATTGTATGTAATAGAAAAAGTGTTGAAAAATCTGCCTACATTTCAACAAGCTGTGTAGTGATAGAAGTATCGTTGAAACCATTTGCTACCCTTCTGACATTACGATATCGTTCGTTTAGCAATGCAGTTGCACGTACGCGTAGCTAATTTCTGTTCTTGCAGACTCAACAAAGACACTTCATTTGGTCGCTTCAAGACACTACGGACAGAGCGCCAAAAAACCGCTGCTAGATTCACCCCACGATCGTAGTCGAAGAGTGTGTATTTTCTGATATCTAGGATTGTACCCAAACGAAAAAAAAACCCCCGAGTTACAAAGCCTTGCTAGTACGAGGTCTCACTATGGATGTTTTATATTACACACGAATGGTCGGTGACAATTTTTCTGAAAATTTATTGTGTTGTAGTACGTCATGCGATTCGCATCTTCGACCGAATATGGTAAATAAAACGTAGGTTTTAGTGTGCAGTGACATTGAAAGTCATCTGTCTAGCTATCTGCAATCAAATCTATTACTAACATTTCTTTCTGTACAGTGAGTTTATTGTCATAGTTTTCCTGAGATTATGGTCAGCTTTGCTATCCGCCCTATATATAGTTGTTTAGCGAACTGGCCAAAAAAGAATTCGTTTTTTCTTGTATCGTTGGTATGACCTATGTGAATGAATCTGAGGTAATTACCAGAATTATGCTCTAGAGCTGATAGATCTATTCTTAAGCGACGTTATTACTATAACTCGACACGTCTGTTATATAACAATGAACTGGTTAGAAAATATGAGATATGCATTTACATTCAGACTAAAGTGGTCGATGACAAATAGCACGAAAAAAGAAGCTAGATAAAAGTATCGTTTCAGAATTGATACTATGTCTTATTATCAATGCGAAATGTGGCTGGTAACTGAATATAATTGGTTTATATAGGCATGAAGAAACGAATTCGAGCCGGACAGTATGAGTTTCCGAATCCCGAGTGGGCAGCAGTTTCGAACGAAGCCAAAGACATTATTCGGCATTTGCTCCACACTGATCCCGCGAAAAGGCTCGATATTGAAACGCTTCTAGGCCATCGGTATATTATCAATATATTGATTGAGTTTTGTAGAATCTTTGTGTAGAAAGAATACGTATGCAATTATTTAAAATCAAAATTTCTTCCGTAACTCTATAGGCATTTATCTAACGACGTTGCCTCAACTTAGTAATTAAACTATTCGTAATTAAACTGGCATAAATTTGTAGCAGATACAATATCCGGAATGAACTTGCTAGGCAGATGATTGGATTCTGGTTACTAACGATTACTGAACGAATAGAACCATATCTTACTGAAACCTTCAGGACACTCAGAATACTGGAATAGACATCATAAATATATTGTACTATACTTGGAGTCCATCATTAAAAACGCTCGTTTGGCCGCTCTTACAATGATCTATTTTGGACTGCACCTTTATTTAGGTGGATATCACAGTGTCACCAAGTGCCGCAAACACCTTTAATGTCTGTTCAAATTTTACGAGAAGAAGCTGCCAATGGTGGCTGGGAAGAAGTCCAAGACGAAATGAATAACGCGCTTGCTTCAATGCGAGTTGATCGGGAAGATGCATTAACACTCAAAGTAAGGAAACACTACTCTATGCCTTCGCATATACCCGCTTTATCATATAGTTTGTTTAAAAATGTATTTTATCTTGTCGTTAATTGATTATCATTCTAATTTAAATTTGCACAACATCATTCCTGTTCTACGGCGTGTTTATTCAATTTTTTAAAGTTTTTATTATTTTAAATATTATTTATATACGATGTGCCATATCGTCTCAGTAACATCTATATCTTAGTTGATGTTTTTTTTCGCAGGCCCTCAAGGAGTCGAACAACAAACTCCTACAAAAGAGGAATAAAGCTGGTCTACCATGAGTAATCACCAATCGAATGGCTAGAGAAAATGTATTTTTTCATTCGGGATTCTGTATTGTATTTTACGATCTGCAACAATAATAGGCACCGTACAATACAACAACCGAACCAAGCAATTGAAACACAACGCAACGAGGATTAGCACATGAAGTATATTCGATGGCATTCGCTTAGAATGGGTATTATGGAAAATGGTACATCAGAGGGCGGAGTTTTGTTACTCCAACAGCGATTGTATTGTAGTAAAAAGCGCGATATTTATTATTGCCGTCGGATTCAAAACGAACTTAGAACTACACGCCGCAATCTATATATTCGGCAAATACTATCAACTATTATGCTACGTTATAAAAAACTTTTCAGATCCAAATTTAAATACAGATCTAACATCTTAAATTGACTAATAAACCAGAAAAAAAAGATTGTGCATACCTCTAAAGTCGTAAAAACAGCTTTACTTTTATGGAGCTGCATTGTTTTACTACATTAATTATAATTCGGATACAAGTTGACGAAGTTATTCGTGTAAAATTACAATCAACGGTCGAATATTCCGTCTCAACCGGTCATCAATTTAAGGACTCTGCAGTGGAGTGAGGGCAATGCTCGCAGAGACACAATTATCGAGGACCAAAATTAGCGTACATGAATGTGTCTGCCATGCAAACTAGCTACTCACAAAGCTTTAAGGCTATATATGAATGACGCGAGTTATAAACAAAGTTTCACATTAAAAGCTTCTTGAAATTTGTGCTCAAAAGGTGTTCTTGACACACGTTGTCTACATTGATTTCAAAAAGAACTATTAAATTTAACGTCCGGTAGCCCATGAAGTCATGTGTTGATCTTGTTAATATCTTGCAATAAAGAACGCAACTCTAAATCAGAACGGAAAATCTGACATGTAACATGAAACGATAGCTTAACGCATCAGTCGTATAAAACATTAATAACGAAGCAAAACATTGTATACAACAAAGAATTCCGAGCCAATGTTGTTGTGGTTGCCGCCGTCACCAGTTTGCGTTGGAGGTACGAGTGCCAGACTGTGCAGTTTGTTAAAGCATACCAGCCAAAATAATAGAATGAGCAATGTACTATGTATCTGGCAAAATACTTAATACGTTAATGTTATAGGTAAACCGATAAGGATAATCTTGTACCTCTGAGTAGCAATTATTGATGTTTGTAGTAGGTTTTTCTATATCGTTGCGTGGCTGATTGAATGAAGTATGAAAAGGATTGATGTAGTACATGTTTAGCCAAGAACAGGTTGGTTGTCAAGAAGAGTCAGTAGTGTAATATATATTCGTAAATAAAGTGATATAATTAAATCTACGACTGAATGGATGTCGAGTGCTTTCCGTAAGCAGAACAAATGCATTTCATTTGTTTACAGTCAGCACATGATAAGATCCCGTGGTAAGCCATATTTATAATACATACATGTGCACGATAAAAGTTTGCCATCCAAACAACGGGTGCCATTTGGAAAAGTGTTGAATTTCTTTGTTATAACAACTTTCCTAAGACTATTTCAAAATATGCATACAGATAAAAGCAAGTTAATAAATTTGTTTGCTATCAATTCACCGCATGACTGTTTTCTTTCTACTTATTCAAAATGTATAAACTCAGATCCATGAAGCGTTTGTAATAGCAACTTCATTAAGTATAAAAAAATCCTATCTTCTTAGTTATTACTGCAGGCCTAACAACGAGTGACGTTTTTTTGCATACTGTTTTTCAAACAGATAAAAACCGGGTTTTTTTTGGTAGCGGTAAATTCTTTCTTAGACAATAAGACGTGGGATCCATTCCTTAATTACCAAGTTGATATACGAAACGTAATAAATCACCGTGAGATCCCATGGACCATAGATTATAGTACTTCTTCTCTGCTCTTAATTAGCCGCCACAAGGATCTTCTTCTATCTTGTTTTGCCTTCATAGTTTGATTACTAGGGTCAAAGCAAAGGCCTCTGAAGCCTCTATTAGACAGCTTAATTGCAGTATCTCGTACACGCTTTATTGCTTGATAACTGGGAAGTTGCACGCTACTTGGCAATGAATAAAATGGTCGATAAACATTAACCCAAATTACCCGTTTAGACCTAGCATCTTTCGCGCTATTATCACTTCGCCAAAATTATATCTAAAAGAATGCGGAACATATTTGCATAGCAAACGAGAAGAACAGGCAATTTATTCAATAACCAGTGTTTATTATCATTACTATTATGTGGTTGGTTCTATCCGCCCTTACTCTTTCTTACCTTTCTACTGGACATCACAGATGCTTCAAATATACCTAGTTTATCTCGATGTAGATACCCGCCGGCTACAAGTCAGCAGATCTGGACGAGGACGTGTAATGTTACAGATAGATAACAATAATAATTTATGAAATAATTATATTAGAATCATTATTAATGGCTGTTTGGTAGCAAGTTCCACTAGGTTGGATGCAAAGAAACATTTGTATAGTCTGTCTGCCAACAACCAAGAGTCCCGCTTTGGCGAGAACAAACAATCGATGAAAATAAACCATCTTGTTACTTAAACAAAAGGCGTTCTTCTTAATCAACTACAAGATTGTGAATACTCGAACCAAGTCGTTAATTACTGAAAGAAATTCGTATTTGAAACCTTACTACTAGTGTACCCTAGCAGTACCTAAATGGCATTACTAGTACAAGAAGAGGCTCGCTATTCTCTGAGTTATGTTTGGCTCAAGGTAAGAACACAATATCCTATGGTGCATTCAAAACAGGTTAGCTGAGATACAACAGTGACAAGCATAGTCATACGCTTTAATAAAGAACTTCCTCTGTCGAAAGCTTCTCTTGTGCACTTGCAAAAAAATCAAACGATATATATGTTAACCCAAATGTACATGTGAAAACCAAAATTCTGTAAATTACAGTTCTCAAATAATCGAAGTCCATCTATGCATCCAGCGCCGTAGGTCATCAACATAAATGATGCCAACAAATAAAGTTGGAATAGATTAGTTTGCAATAATGAAGTTTTGGCTTATTTCAAATGTTTCCATGCCGTCCTCGTACAGTTATCAAGAAATTATGCGTCATTTATACTCGAGTGCTGTAACCCATAGTGATTCAAAAGCTAATAGATGATACCAAAAGGCGTTTACCGTATTGTCAAGCTAAACCCTAAAGTAGTTTTTTACCCCACGATTTATCTCTGAATTAATAAGAATATTTTAATCACTGTTAATCGGCGTTATCACGGTATTTTATATAAATTATTCTTTCTTTTGTTTACCCTCAGTGCTTATGCGCTGTTTTGTCGTTTATATCGCATGAATGTGAATCCTATCGTACAGAAGTATCAACCAGGTCCGCACAAGTAACAACAACAATAGCAACTTAGTGTAGGAATATTGCCTCCTCTCCATTTTAGTGATCCCGTTGATTTCTCGCGCATTTGACATGCGATTCGCTCATCAACTAATTGTATCGTTTAGACCTAGCATCTTTCGCGCTATTATCACTTCGCCAACTAAACAATAAAAGATTGTAGGGAACGAAGAATAGCTTGTACCACGTCATGTGGGCTCCATAAAATTGAAGTCTGGAAGAAAGGTAATGAATTAATTATAGGCGGCTGCTATGTTTCTGAAAAAACTGACGTAAATCTAACAACAAAAAAGCTTTGTAGTCATTCATTAAATGACAGTGCACACAGTGAAATAGATAATTACGGAAGTGACCCGTATACTACGTTTAAGCGATAATAGAATCGCATATTGAATACTTAGAAGAACATACGTAAGTCGATTAATTAAAATACTTGCGCTGGTATACGACAGCTGCGGATTTGTTTCAATCTGAGTCAAGCTCAATCCATTACTATAGAGATTTGTTAATACAGGTGAAGACGTTATTATGTTTCGCTCACTTGCGTTAATGTTTATCACGTTGACTTTCGACGAAAACTCTGTTCTTTTACAAGAATCCCTTATTATTTTTTACAATTTTGCCCCAGCCAACCGTAGTCCAATGATACTGACATTATCATAATTTTTTTAGCGAAAAGTAATAACATATTAATCCGCCGTTGTTGTGGACGCTCGGACGCTTGGCTCGTCCTTTAATGCCAGCCAAGTAAAGTAGAATCCATGATCCGACACCCAGTCTACTAGACAGACGGTTATCAAAGAGGAATGGAGAATGCTGTAGAAAAAATCGCAAGGTTACAATTTTAATATGGCAGAACAAATTCCATTTTTAGAAGCTTGTTGTCGGTAAGTCTGTCAATGGCCCAGTCGCCTTCTAACAGACATGTATATTATACCCCGCAGCCTGACTCAGCAGTATTTATATAAACAATATAGAAATCTGATTAAATAGAGAAGAACGTTGTAATTAACAACAATTAATTGTTCTGCTATAGGTTAACTAGTTAGTTATCACTAATGGGAAACCAATTTGTCTAGTGCTTCTTGTTTATTTATATGCGCTTCAATAAAAGGTGTCCTTTTCCTCTGTCATTATAGGGTCCCACGGGCTAAATAGTACTTAATTTCGTGCTACCACGACATTTTTGCTATTGTTTTCTGAAGTCAAGTTGGAGGAAAGCCATTATCATGTATGATATATCTTATCTTTTCTAGTAATCTTATTTTTCATCTCCGTAGACCCGTTGGTAATGGCTTCATTATCAAAGCTCCTCGTCATGAATTCTGAGTACAATTAGTCGTCGTAACAAGGAACAATGAATGTTGGCGATGCCCGCTTAAAAAATTCCTATATCTTTCCAATCTAGTCAACGTCCTCAGTAGAGATACTCAGTTCCTCGTCTTCGTCCATATCATCGCCTAGGCCAGCCATTAACTGGTTAATCATATTACCCAAAAATCCCCCACCAAACATTCCACTAGTTTCTCGTCCGTGCGAGGGCTGTTTTCCGAAGAATATCTGACCGATCTTTTCTAAATACAGCCGATAAGTTGGATCTCTATCGAGCGAACTTCGATACTTGTCACATAATAGCGTAAATATAGCCAGCTGGAAATCAGAGAAAACAATATCAAAGTTAGAGTGGAGTGTATAATATATCTATGTATGTATAAATATTCATATGAAAATGTTATGTCACCAATTTATATACTGAAGTCGCTTCCTCTCTGTGGCAGAACGAGATAGAGTAATGCTGACTTTTATGACGATCATACATAGGTTCGTTCCTGCCTCAATTCATGAATTCGCATATATAATAGTTGCCGCGTATTTGAGTCGACAATCGACTGCCATTATGTTAAAACGCTAATTCTGTATTGTTCAACATCAAACAATATTTTTCCACTGGTAAACACATATGATAATTCGATTAAACGAGGCACAACTTTCTAGACTACCAGCAAATATGAGTGTTAAAGGAATTCGTCAATCCATCCTCGGTTGACTGATATGCTCAATACCTTAGCTCGGCTTTCGACGGCGAGAAGTAAAAACCAGAGGAAGTTAAGTAGTGGTAACGCAAATGGAGGCGCGCCTTGAACAGCCGGGTGGCCACGCGTGTACACAAGGAATGCAACGGTGGCTGTTTGCTGATTCTGGAAACCAGAGAGATGAAGCTCGGTGAGCTTTTTTTTGGCTAGGACAAAAACTCGCGAAATAACAGCCTACCGCTTGATACTAGATAGCTTAATTAGACGGCAGGGTGTGATGCCAGGCCTAACTCACCTTTAAACACAAAAACTGAAGAACGGCTTGGGCAATGAAGAGATCCACTTCAGAGCGATATCCTCGGCTTGTATGGAACTCCACCAGCATTCGCGCGAAATTTGTCCCATCTAAATCCGAAGGTAAAGCATTTGTTACCTTCAGCATTTGAGCGACAGCTGAAGCGGAACTTTTTTGCTTATGATGAAAGAAACTTAAACATTTTTTGGGTTATAAAAGCAAGAAAAACTTCCATGCGTTTCGATAGGATAAAATACCTGGGCTACCGCTTGTTTGAGATTTTGAAAGCAAGTAGGTTTTTCAGAAAAATTTCAAGGACGTTTTGCGTTTATATATAGCTAACACTCCACTGGCATCGCAACGAGTTTTTTTAATATAATTACTCTCCAATGGCATTATCCAATTATTATTAATTATATATTATTATTAAATTGACCATAGTACCCGATCTACCTGTCGAATGTATAAAATGATATCGAGCATCGGAAAAATTTTTTTCCTGCCAAAAGTTAATTGCGAGGAGGCGATGTAGGTCTGGATGGCCAAATGAGCAGCCTTTTCGCGGAGTTGCCGATACTGAAGGCGAAGCTGCATTCATAACACTCAAAGATTCTGTATTTCTGTTTGATGATACCCGGTCGTTGCCCCGCATGGTCTCGAGCACCGTACCGGCTTCAGTTGGCGCCCAAGCTGACGAGTACTCGATGCACTTTACTAAAATGTTGTTAAAGGCAAACGATAATGTCAATTCCACATTCGAGCTGACTATTTAAAAAAAAGCCTTTTATGCTATATTTTTATTTAGTTGAAAACGGAAACATTATACGTTCAATACAAGGACAGAGAAATGCTTCGGTTAAATTCTGTAGTATTGTTTTTACTACAACAATTTTTCTATTATGTATACGGAGACTAACAACCAAAATTATAAACAAGCCATAAGTACACCGATCTAACTAATCTGAACAACCTGAAGTATTGATTCAAACTTTATATAAATAGGCAAATATAAATATTCGTGATATAAGTGTCCTACAAAAGTACTTCTTACCAGTAAAGGCCATTCTTTCCGGGCTATGTGCTTTCATCATGGAATGTAGTTTAGCAAGTCTCTGGATGACATCTGCGCTCGCGGGAATTTTACCTTTATTTAGAACCTATAATTTACAAATAATCCAAATAAGAAAATGTTAGGTTTACCGCTACGTCATGTATAACCATTCTGGTTAAGATTAAACATTTTTAGATTCTAATTCAAGATTTACCTCAACAAAAAGCGATGCAAGGTCAGCGCCCGAGTTCAGCTCTCCGTTGACAAGCAATTTTTCTGAACCTTCAAACATGACATCCGCACTTTGAGACCATTTCAGCTGCCGACTTAACCTGAAAATGAAAACATCTATGTTCCTATTACCCTGCTTAATTATTTGACGAAATATCACATGCACGATGTTAATAATATTATTCATCACGCGTGAACCCAAGACGTGACTAACAAAGATAAATCTTGTCTCTCGCGATAAATTCAATAATTCTTCACTTAAACAATAATATTCGACCATATATTTACATTAGCCTTTTAGATTTTTCTAAAGAGTGACAAAAATATCTTCATCTTCGTCTGATTGTAAATTCCGTTATACCAGAGATAGAATTTTGGTATAAATACACACAGTTTGGGAGCATACACTCTTCCTACTTTCTTGTAGATATAAACAACACGTTTTTCAATAATAGTTTATTAAAACAGAGCTTTACCTCCCACATTATTATGTATCAGTAGGCATAAAAATAGTGATATAAAATCTACGAAGCGAAAACTTATAATGAGTGAGCTAAATAGTTTGGAGTTCTTATTCGCCTAACGTGTTTCGGTTCAACATACGCACATACGCATACAAATGATATCTCTTCTGCAGTAAATTGCGATATATATAATTTTAGTACGTTACGAAATTTATAGTAAGTTGAATTTTATATATGGTTGTGAATTAAGTTAATGACACCGCCTTACTGAAGACAGCTATAAAAAGACAACAAGAAGGTTTGAAGAATGGAATAACTATAAAACTCACAGTAGACCCGCACACTGTTAGTCGTTGGTCTAAGAAATTAAAATTCACAATAACCTAAATGGCCGTTACCGTGGTTGCATAAAATTACAACTTGTGAGTGACTAGAAACAAGTTACTTTCATCAGTGCTATTATGTCATAATGTTGCCTATGACAGCTATAATGAACCGTCAGCCAACGGGTAAAAAATGGATCTCATCTCACCTGAAGTATAAGGTTCGATACATTTGATGAGCATGGTAGAAGTCACGGTCCTTTAAACATTGTTCCAATTTCACACGGACCCGCTCGAGGCCTTGCTCTCCGCGGGCCGCCATTTCACATGCACACAATTAGATAGAACGAGATTAGGCGTCCAGCTGTCCAGTGAATGGCACACTTTTGCTGATAAATCCACTCCCTTTTGAGTTTTGCCGTTTCTTCCGCAACAAGACAATAGCCGACTATCAACTCGCACACATCAGTCTTCAATTCTTCGTATTCGGATAAAAACATTCGACCAGAGCAGACGACAAGTGCAGTGGCGCAGACGTAACAGTCGTTTGTTTACGATGTCGCCTTGACTCGCTCCGCCATACTTGATTTACTCGGATTAGACATGGCGCCTTTTGCTTGAATCAACTGTACCGATTTCGCGTGTACTCGTTTGCGAGGGCAAACGGGATTCATATTGTTCTCGTTGGTAACGGTGGTTAACCTGATAAGCGTTAGCATTTAATTGCACAGATACCTAACTGCAGTACCGGGCATAAAACTAAAAAAAAAGTACTTCTTCGCATTTCGCGTATAGTCAACGACTAATATTTAATTGAATAGTGTAGAAGTGTCACGCATTTAAAAAACACATATCGTTCAACTACTTTGTGACACTTCCGAATATGAAGTACAAGAGAGGCTGGTCAAAGACTATTTATAACTAAAACTATTTGTAAGAGATAACCATATATATCACCAAATGATATATAAGAGATAACACTATTTTCAACTAAGTATTTTTAGAAAGATAACAATTTGGCGTCTAAAAAATCTATCATTGAGATAAAGTGTGAAACAGTGTTTTGAAATGATTATTCCGACTAAATAATGAACTAGGGGCGTTAACTAGAGTATTACTGGTAAATTCCTTGCCAAATTAATGATACTGCAGTGTGACTCTTTCCGTCTCTTTATTTTCAATCGAACCCGCACTATCATGGTATGTTGGCCCATTTATACAGCAATAAAAAATACCGCAAAAAGTCCAAAAAATGGGCAACCTGGTTCAATATATGGACCTGTCACGGTAATGAACCCTGGCTTATTAGATGACTCCTACTAAGAAAGGACCTTCGTGGAAAGGATAAAACTTCTTAATTTCTAAGATTTTTCCTCTCATATATAATAGCAAATTTATTGTAGCAACTACCGTGATAAATTATTAGAGTATATTTTTCCAACGTAATGTTAATAAACTAAATATACTCTAACATATTTTACTAACATGTAGGTTCAAAGAGAGGTTTCGATTTAGTGTCTACCAAAATGCGAAGCTTTGGTCTTCTTATCTTTGTAAACATGTACGGATCAACTGCACTTTGGCTTGGTTAATCCTGGATAAAGCGAACTTTTCGGAGTAGTGAGGATATTAGAATTAGAAGGCCCTTATCTATCATGTGTGTGTGTTGAGAATTTTGAAATTATCTCGATTTCTTCATTTATTGCTATTTTAACTGATGCGTGCGTTTTTAACAGGTGGGCCTGAGTAGTGCGTTCAGCCCTCGGTGGTGCTGTGAAAACTAATTTCTGTTCAAACCCTAAAAGCAAAGGGCGGTCTAGGTTCGAAACCGGGCGCAGATTCGATTCGTTTTGTGCTCGGAGCAAGCCTCTGAAGCCATGATTAACGGCAATGTAAAAAAAATAGTACTCAAAACAATTAGGGGTGAGGGTTCTGTAACATTGGTTAAGATTCGGTGCGATTTTGGATGCATCTCCCATAGAGTTTCTCACTGTGAAGTAATAAGCGAAAACATACCATTTTGTACTATTTATTTGGAAAGGTCGATATTAAGAATTCAGGTATATCTACCTTTGTATATATAAGATTCGGTCATATCCCATCCAAAACTCGCACAAAAATTAGTGGCATCAAACAATTATTTTTGTTAAACCATATGATACTTCCAGATGTGTTAGGGTTTATAGAAGAAAATCATATTATTTTTTATATTTTCCCAGACATATTAGTTTCACTGTAGTAAATTGCCATCCGACGAAGTAACAGATAAAAGTACTAGAACTCATGAACAGACCTTCATTTACGGGTACGGTAATTTGGGGTTAACTTGCCAATCTCAATCAATTGCCAAGTAAATATGGACTTACTTTATAGATAATATCAGCTTACAATTCCTGTTTTCTGAGAGATTTAAGGTTACCGTTTTAAGTTCATTTTGCTGTTCTGTGGGCTTTGCGTAACACTTTGTTAGCCTTATTTCGTTCGAGCCGTGTCGATACCGTAGACTGAATCCATCCTACGCCTTCTGAGCCTAAGTTATAATAAATTTAAAAATACCTCCCTTTAGAAGCTAATTAAGTATTCTTGTACTTATATTGCAAATATAATCGCAAGCTTTTTGCAATCGGAGCAATGCTGTATTTATTTTAGTCCGTTTACACTTCGCACACAATTTTTGGGTCGGCCGATATATGATTTGACAACTGATGAGCAGTCGAGGCCGAAAGCAGGAGTTCATCCTTGCTGTACTTAACCCTCATCCTGTATCCTATCTCATAAGTGTCTGTAAGGGTCATAAATGTTGACCAAACCCTGAATATGCTTTTATTCTGCTGTGACTATTTTTCAAGATATGAGCATCATCTTAAAAAACCCCAGCGATTCGTTTCTGTGAGCCTAATCGGTATATTACTGTAGATGGTCACGTTATTTAGCCTGAGTCTCTGTTGTAAAGCCGTAATAATAAAAGTACGTAGAAGACATAGCCTGAACTTCTGTTATTCATTGTGCTATAACGACCCTACAGATTAATTTTTACACGGTATTTTTATTAAATATTAAAGTCGAGCTTAGTTATTTTCTTACATGTCCCTGGCGGATAAGGTTTCTGTAGTCGCGCCTTTCTATTTAAAAACTATTTTTAACTGAATAAATGTGTTAATTTATTAAATAAAATTAATTCATTTTTTTATCGGCTTGTCTGCATGATCTTATGTGGTTGAATACTCAAGTTCAACTGCAGATAAAATAAAGGTGAAGAACTTTATTTAATCCTACACCTTTCTTAAATTAATCTTGTTTATAGGGGTACGTTTAACCGAGAAGGAATTTTAAAAAGTGATTAGCTAAGTTAATAACAACATTGTTCAAGGCGATTTGTCAACAGTATCTGAAATAACCTTAGATTCCGTGCCCAATCGAAACATGCATTGATGTTCTAAGAAAAAGTAAGTAATATTATTAAAAATCTGCTATAAATAAAAGCCACAGGTAAATTTTTTTAAAATATTGCTCAAAATGGTGTGAAAACTAAACACTATTCATATTCGGAAGACGAGGATTTAAATTTGTTTAAGCGCATAGTCTTTTATTCAATGGTTCCCCCTATTCTCTGTTTTGACGCTGTTTGGAGAAACAGAGAGACACATAAACAATTGTTCGAGAAATGGCATTAAGCAAATGAAGAAGCGTAACTGAATATCAGTGGTGTCTATAATGTATGTATTATATTGGGATCAGTTGCTATTATCTGGCAACATTTGAGAACTTACCGTTAAACCACCTCTATGGATAGGAGAATATATAGACACTGTAATGTATGCATTGGGACATTTAAAAAAAAAGCGTTCCTGTATTTTATATGTGAGTACGAGCGTACATATAATAACATGGTGTCACTAGCGATCGCAAAATGTGTTACAACGTCATTATTATCTAGCCACTTTTTTGCATTACTCCACCGTTACACTGTCATTTCAGTTAATTGTCTTGCAAGTATGCATAACTTAGATTTCTTATAGCCATCGCTATAACATCGCTACTACGGCCTTATAGACCATAAGTGTTCTTCGTGTCCTATTAAATGATGAAGAAACCAACAGCTAGGACTACTGGGGCAAATATAAGAAAAGTAACTAGTTATAGAATATCCATTTACTAATAAAGCGTAGGCTTTAACTTACAATCACAAACGACTGTGTGACGAAGGCAAGATCTCCATTTCACTTTCGGATTTTTAAAGCATTTTTAGACTTTTTGAGAGTTGGCAGAATATCAAACTCTGATCAAAATGAGAACAGAGGGCAAAATGTGCTATATTATGCCAAAACAAACAAAGTAAATAAATTCGTTAATTAACGTTTTTTCCCTCCCCCAGGTTCATTACTGCTACGCTGAAAGTGCGTTACCAGTACGTTAACTAAACCTATTTTGTGCGGCACGATGTTTCGTAAGGTAAGGGGATAATATTGAGCTCATAACACATGAAAAGCTAGAAAGGTTTTATATATACAAAGAAAGAGCACTGTATCAGCGTCCGCAAAATATTGGTAAAAAACCATCAGCTTGATCAAAAAAAAAACGGAAATATCTATATAGAGGTAGGCACGAATCAAGGCGAGTTCAAATGATTTTTATCAAATGACAAATTGCCCGAAATCGATGGCTAAATTTCGAAATGTACGTCTTTTCTTAGCCATTTCGAATTGAAAAATGTTCCTAAAACAATTGTCTTGTAATTTCTAATGATTTAATAGAATTTTGAAATGGAACAGAAATAATGTGTTCGCAGAAGCCAAGATTGAGGTTGGGGATCACTATCATGTGATACGAGCTGCGGTACGAACACCAAATATTATTGTCGTTGACAAACTCGACGACAACAAAAGACAATGAAAGAATATTACCTTAGAAGTAGGTAATTTGAATTGACGATAGATTACCTAAGCAGGCACACATTTACGAAGGTCAAAGGAGAAAGAATCTGCCTAGCATGAATACAAAGAGTCAGCTTTATCCAGTTATTAGACAACAATGTTGTCTTACTCCAGCGGCGGTTAATGGCAAAAGGGGTTAAGACATTTGCCTTTAATTAAGAATATATTTAATTATTGATAGCAATATTGAAATTAGAATTTCTACCGACGCCTCGTGAAATGGCTTGTAAGATCCTCTGACTACCTAGGAACTTAACCTGTGTAAGTCTCAATAAAGGCTAAATCTTTTCCAGGTGACAACAAGGCATATATTTTTTAAATAATCAAGCGCTATTATTGAACTTATATGTTCTATATAGGAACGATTACAAAAAATAATACATACCATGATGCGTTTGGCGTCTTTAATTATTAAAGGATTAACATATCATTTTCAGGTGGCCATTTTTGAGCAAACTACTAAGATGTCGCTCTAAAGACGCGTACTCTCAGGACGTTCCGTCAAAGGATTTGTATTGACCTTTTTCCCTTCCCTAAGAAAAACAGTTGCGTGTTGCATGTATAGTGCGTTAACCCGTGTGATGAAATCGGAGAAATTTCCATGTCCTTTCTATAAAGCGCTGATCAAATCATAGCGTCTGATCAAATCATGGCGTATTAAAGTTCGCTATCAAAACATAAATTAATTTTATTTTTTTCCGCGTTTCTTGTGTAATTACTCAATAAATTGTTTATAATCTCTCGCTATTTATTTCTCAATTGAGT